AATGATCCTGAATTATTGACGAATTTGGCTATTAAAATGCAGAATGCTGCTTTAACCTTAGAACAGCTAAATTGCACAACGGAACTTAATTCCTTGGTTACTTTAGAACGAATAGTCAGGCTCTTACCTCGTCGAATGCAAGCCCAGTGGGCAGAGCTGGGAATCAAGTGGGACGAAGAGGAGAGAGAGCCTAATTTCAATGAGTTGACGGAATTTATTATGTCTCGTGCTAAGATAGCTAGTAGTAGGTTCGGAAGATTAGCTTATCGGGCTAAAACAGGACATAATACGGAAGCTACTAGTGGTCTGCGTGCGAGACATGAGGATTCTTCGTTTCTATCTAACGCACGCCCGGAAGATAAGAGAGTTGTCAATTATATCACGAAAGCATACGCTGATGAAGGACGAGTATGTGACCGTAACGATGTAAAACCTCTTGATGCGTATCCTAGTAAGAAGCCGGTTGGTGTAACAGATAAGATGGCTTTTCTAAGTATGGAAAAGAAAGAAAAAGGTGAAAAGTGTAGGCATCAAGATGGATCCGAAGTGTGTGATGTTAAAAGCCTCTTAGCTGCTCGAAAAGCGTGGAACGGTTATTTGGATTCGAGTAATCAGAGGTTAATGAGCTCAGTAAATATGAAGAAGGCCCAGGCAGGATTGTCTGAACGGAATAAAGCCTATTTTCGGAACCCTTCATTTAGGGTAAATTATATAACTGGACCTAGAGTAGATTCTAGGATAAGTGATGGTGGTACTGTAAAGGCTAAGAAGCCTAGGAAACAAGATGATGCTACTATTATTAAGAAGCCTAAACCTCATTCTCTTTCGGATGCTATGACTAGCAATGGAAATAGTAGCCATCAGAATCTTAGTAGTGGCAGCGATAATAAGGAGACAGAAAGTGTCAGCAGTCCACTTATAGTGACTAGTCTATCAACTTCATCGAATGAGCCTCCTAGTGTTTCGACGTCATCGGACCTTGTCACGAATGTTAAGTTGATTGAAGATGCACAAGGTTGTGCAACTGTAACTGTTCCTATTCCGGTTGACTGTCAGTCGAGTGATGATGAGAAGAAAGTGTTTGATGGTAACAGCCAGTCTACAGTGTTGTGTGATGACGATGCTATTGATGAGCATATGTCTTGTGTCTCTGAAACAGAACATGAAGAACAACAAGTGAGTATATCAGTTTCGAATTGCGATACTAATGCTGTTCTTTCATGTAGTGATATGAGTTATACAGCAATGGAAGAGTTCCACTCTACGGATGCTAATGTAGACCGAATCGACGCGACTTGTCTGGCGGAACGGAATCATGATGACGTTGATAATAATCTGGATGTCACTGATGTGACAAATGAGCTACCGAAGATGACGAATCCTGATCAAACCTCCTCTGTATCAGGAGATGGAGAGATAAATATTGATCCCATGTTATGCTACTTAAAGTCTTCTGGAGACGATGAAATGTCGAAATTGGAGATCCCACCCTTGCATATTATCTATGGGTCAAGAATTTCTGTTGATAAGTCAGCATCACGGACTTCATTGTATTTGATGATCGGAGCAAGTGGTGGTGGATTGGCGACTCGTCCCCATAATATGGAATGTAATTCCCGGATAGGATATGAACAGTTTTACGACGTGTTGTACATGTTCGTGTGGGTTAATTGGGTAAGGTTTATACTACCGTTAGGTCATGCCACGATAGATAGGGGAATCAAGGGCCTGATGGGAAGGTATCGGTACCTAGTTAGCTTGATAGGTCATATCCATGTTGGATGGCGGGTAGGCGTACTGCTGTAAGTCCTACACGTTCTTCCGGTGTGGATTAGGGGATGAGTGGGAACCCTAAATAGAAGTGTCATTAACGCTTGCTTTTTGCATGGAGGGATTTTGCGGGCCGGTGTAGAATCCTTTTTGAATGTTTTGTTTTTTGGAAAATCCCTCCATGTTTATATAATTTTGTTATGACATGACGGACTTTTTCTGTTGACATTTCGCTATTTTATTTGATTCCAATTTCAGATTTATCATTGTATATTGTTATTATTTCTATATTTTGTACTTATATTGAAGTTTTTATGTATGCTTCTGAACTGTACATATGTTGTTTAAATTTGATATAATATGGCTACCGCCACATTGTTGGATTGATATCGTGCAGTATAGGAGTTCACCTAGACCTCGGAACCTTGATACTCATTCAGAGTAATTTTGAATTGGAAGTCGTAAATTTCGTTAGGTATTGTTTGTATTTCCTTTTATTATCTATTAATAGACCATTTTCCCCTAGAATTATTGTGTTCTTATATTCAAAATTGGGAAGTGCGTCCGACATACGTCTATTGGAATCGAATTGAACTGCCACGATAGAAAATCCAATTACATGGGGTTCATGAATATTAACCTCTTAAATGCAAAAGAATAACTTACCCTCTTCAAAATCTTTACAAAACACTCTCTTGAATACTGTCCACTTACCATTCCAAATATAAACACCATGGATAAAGAAGTAAGGACGTTTTCCTAAGAAGCCTCAAACATTGACTGCTAGGATGTTATCATATTCTTGACTACACAGCTAGGTTCAAGCAGTTATCTTAAAAACACTTATGGTGCTGTTGACTGAAGAATGACCCGGTATTTTTCAACGCATTAATATGCGGTCTCTCACTTGTAACCATCCTTGCAAATATGAACCACCACCCTACTTAAATACTAAGAAACAATGCATATGCACTCCAGATTTAGAAACATAAAAAGAAACTGCATTTTAATTTCTCTGCGAAACGGCATATTTTATCGTGGAACAGACTGCCAATTTCTGTCCGCATCTGTGACCCCATCACTAGATGTCTGAAACTAGTATTGCTGTTGTTAGACCCTAAAGAAAATTTAAAAAATTTAAAGACGGCCTACCCTATGCCGAGGTTTTTTCATGGTACAGTTTATATGTAGAATTATCTCAGATACTATTAACAAACCACGAATATATTGACATTCGTACAAGCATCATCAAACAATAAAAACACATCGTTGCCATTCACAACCAAGTTTCCTGAAAACTTAGAGTCACATCATTTTTTTCGAAAAACTTTCATACCAGTTTTAGTTTCTATTCCAAGTAGACATGAATTACAAAACCTGTAGATTCTGCTTGACCGACGTCGACCATATGCAACTCGAATTACCCTGAATCATTGCCACTTCTAGTTCCTTTTACAAGTTTAAGAAATTTTATTAATCCGAATTTATCAAAATATACACGTTCTGATTTACCAGTCATCGTCTTACTCAGATTTTTGACCTGATTAGTCCCCATATTTTTGGTCATCAGTAGACCTGTCTGATCTGTCTGACTTTACAAAGGCCTTTGACACAGTGCCCTACGCACTCCTAGTTGAGAAGGTTGCGGGAATCGGCTTCACTGACCCACTCCTATCGTGGCATAGAAACTATCTTGAGAATAGAAAGTTTCGCACCAAGGTAAATATAGTGCACGCGAGTTGGCGAGTCTCAACATCTCGATTTTCACAGTGGGCCATCTTAGGTCCACTTCTCTTCTTGACACTTATTCAGAACCTGTTAGACACAGTTAACTCAGCGGCATTGGTCTACGCAGGCGATGCGAAGATTTGGAGGTCCATTAGAAGCGAAGAGGATTCAACTGAGCTCCTAAAGGACCTTAAATCCATTGAGGAATGGGCACTTAAAAATGGTTTAAAACTAAATCAGCCGAAATGTTTTTTTATGTACGTTCTTCTTCATCTGACTCAAACGATCTATTTCCTCAATGGAAGTCTGCCGACTAATGTCTCCTCAGAGGGAAATCTCGGTTTGAAAACCACTGAAAGCCTCCGTACCAATTGGATTTATATGTGGAGGATGCAACGTATGCTAACGCAACTCATCGCTTTATGCGTAGGCACCCTTGTGCCATCATCCTAAAAATGTTCTTAACATTGTTTAAGATATGTGCGCGTTGTCGCACCCCCTCGCCTGAAAGAGTCATAAATCTCTTGAACCACGTGCAGAGACGAGCAACGAAATTGGAGGTAGGGGTGAAAAATAGAGCTTACGAAGATGGACTACAGTACTTGGAATTATTCTCCATGAGTTACATGAAAATCGGAGGTGATATGGTCATGGCGTACAGCATATAATGCACGCTATAACATCCCAACGTGAGCATCTTAGCGTTTCATCAACACCAGTTAATCCTCGAACGATTATGCACCAAAGAGTGAAAACTCAGATTCGCGCACACTTTTTCTCATTAGGTGTCTTTTCAACCTGGAACGATTTCCTAACCGAGATGAACACAGCCCCTCAGTGGATAGCTTTTCGAGGAGACTTGATAAACACTTACTCACATACGGATTATCATCTCTCAGGTGGACCAGCCGTTTCCGGCGAATTTCTTGAGACCTGCTATTTGTTATCATTCTCATCTCCACAGATCGCTTACTTCATCTGTCTCGCTTACTATTTCTGTTTCTTCTCACTTGCTTATATGTCAGTTTTCACTGCCAATTGGTAAACTAAATAAACTATGCTCACCAGTAAATGTTTCATCATATCCCGCCGTCGTTAAAATTAAAACAAATCCATGGTTGAGTATTTTATTGAAGGAGAACGTTGGCATTACATGGGGAGCAGGGCACTTATAAAAATAGCAGCAACGCGAAGAGAACGTTGCTCGCAAGAATTAGTAAAAGTGTTTTCGGTACAGTTAAACAAAACGAGTACAGTAATGTTTATTTTTCACAAATCTTATTTTCTTCGTAGAAGCGTTCCACTACAAACTGACTACATTCGGGATGTCGAGTGGCTAGGCTTCTATCCATTAGACACTACAAAAAGCCTCGAAACGTAACGAAATAACAAGAATTGAGCGCAAAGAAAACAAATGGTCTATACTAGCTCGTGAAGAAAATATTGGATATCGGTTAAAGAGAAAGCGGCTAAGTCAGATCGTCCGTTGCGTTCTAGTGCCTATGGCGGTTGATGTGCATAAAGAGGTTCAGCCCACAAAATTTATTGACAGAATAGGTAATATGTTTTCTGATTATTCTAATCTTTGTAGACGTTAACAATGAAGATTACATACGAGAATTATTAAGGCCGCCAGATATAAAGGAAGATGTGAAATTAATGCAAGAACGTAGTCGCGTTTCACTCATCTTACGTTCTGCATATTTTCGGAAGGAATTGGAAAAGATTGTAGCCTCATCACTGAAGTCCGGATGTCTAAACGCTAACGTCGTTGCTCTTAAGCAAATTATCGATTATCTGACTCCGCAAACTCGTCTGGGATCTTCTGCCTTCACAAGAGGTATGTCATGGTTTCTTTGTTTTCACGTCACATGAAAAGTTCTCGTTGTACTCGGAAACCGTATACCTTTACGTGGACATGTTCTGGTTTCAGATTTTGAATAAATCCCAGCATGCTTGTTATGACTCAGAAATCCGAGTCGGTTTCATAAGTCGCACTGTGTTACTACTTTGCTGGCTACTAAGTAATCGCCAAGTATGTCTGATACGACAAACATTTTGTCAAACCGAAGGTGAGCTTCAGCAAATAAAGAGCTGACATATTAGACGCAAGACTCAGTAGGATATTGGCTGTTCCCCAATGCGTGAATGCCGTTTTGAGTTTTGAGTTTTGAGTCATTGTTAATGTACGTAATGTAAAACTATATTGTCTCGGCGGTATATCATTGATACTGTTAATTATAGTGAAGGTAACGTTTTGTGAAATGCCTCTGTGAAGACGGCTTGCAAATGTCTATGTTGGCTCCAAAATACTAATAGAGTAAGTTTCATATAGTCCTGTCTTACGTGTTTATCGCCATATGGTTTTATGCGATTTCGTCCCAAGCCAATTTGGGGGGATCCTGTGGTCAGTTAGTCATACCCAACCTAGTATTTAGCACTTTCATCACCCCAAGTTCCCATACCGCAGCATGGCTAATGATTAAATGTATAAACAGTAGCAAAAATTAAGTGTAGACGATGTGGTACGAAAAGAAGAAATAAATTTGTGAAATAAAAAGAGCACTCTAAATCTAAGGAAAGGGAACAAATAGCTCCATCTGCTCCGTTCACTTCATCTCGATTCCTAATTCCATTTTACCCTCAAATATAATTTTTCACACTGTTTTTTGGAACCATACTCGCAGGTTTTAGTGTCTCTTATCATTGATACTACAGTATTTTGTTATTTTTGTCTCGTCGTACTAATCAGGTAGGACAGGTTTTATTTTGATGCTATCTGTCTGACTTAGCAGATCATTTTCATGTCAGCAAGTCTTAATTTAAGTGGTAGTTCTCGACATTCTGTATTGTACGTGTTATGGGATCAACACTCTTGATTTGAAAATTATCTTTCAGTGTTGTCACTGTCTTATCTCCGGTTAAAAGCAAAAGTAAAATGTCCATGTTACATTCTGCAGTTCGGCCAGACTAAAACATGGTACAAATCCATGAAGCCACTGGAGTCCTGTTGGTAGGTGTAAATTACCTGGCTGGAGCCAGTGGGATGATAGTAATCGATGGTTAGAGACTTTGAATGACATGGATCAAAACTGTTTGCAATTGGCGTAGGTGCATTCATTCTTTGTGTTCTCTCAAATCCTAACCTTCTTAATTCCTCATCACCTTATCTTTTTCTTTTTAAGTTTTGTTTCATTAGATTCTACTTCTTCTTCAAACCTTAATCTCTCTGAATACTGCTAATACCTTTACTACCTCTACTGCCATTGGATTTGAATTGACAATTACATTTCTGTGATAATATGGTATGGCGACTTAAACTAATGTACGTGCGTACATATGATGTTCTACGTTGCTGTTGATTGATTGATTGATTGATATTCTGCGGTTGAATAATCATTAACTATAGAAAATCCACTATTTTATACATGATAATCTGTCTAGATATTTTTTAAACCCATTAATCTTGGCTGTGATCTCATCGCTTCGTTGATACTTCCTTTAGTAGACCAAACTAGCTAGTCAGTTGTTGTTAATTTCTTTCACATACATTTTAACTATCGTGTAGAGTGAAAGAGCAGTCAGTCCAGTTACAACGTAGAAATTTGTATGTACGTACATTAGTTCAAGTTGCCATACCACAGCTCAGAGACGCAATGGTCAATTCACAGTCAGTCAGTCAGCCAGTTTCAACGTAGAACTTCGTACGTATGTACATAAGTTCATGTTGCCATACCACATTAGCATAGAGACGCAAATGTCAAATGAAATCCCATAGTGATAAAGATAGTAGAGGTATTAATAGCAATGAAGAAGACTAGGGTTCGAAGATATTATTCAAGAAGTATAATTCAGTGAGATAAGGTTAGAAAGACAAAGGTAGAGGTGCTGACGAATCCAGAAGATTAGGATTTGAGAGAGTTCAAAGAATGGATGCACTTGCGCCATTGCAAACGATTTTGAGCCATGTCATTCAAGGTCTCTAACCATTGATGACTTTCGTCTCGCGGACCCCAACCAGGTAGTCTACATCTACCAACATGACTCAGTCCACTTTTCAGTGACTTCAAGGATCGGTGTTATGTTTTGGCTTGGTCATTCCTAGCTTCCAAAGTATTCCTACTTTGCAAAACAACTCAACGAGGCAGTTGGTGGTTAGTCATACGCAACACATGTTCCAACCACCTCAACTGATGAAGATTCATTGCTTCATCTATTGATCTGCCATCCTTACCTAAGAGCCGTTTCGTAATAACTGCATTGCTTACTCGATAGTCCCAAGATAAATGGCCAATGCTTGGGAGACCCCAAATGTAGTGAATGAGAACACAGGTGGGGCAACCGAATTGTATTTAACGAAAATTACAGAGTTACTCAGTAAAATCGGAAAACCATATCGTAAATCGTTCATTTGCAAAAGATCAGTTCATCCTATGGAACTGGACTGTTCCTGTTGCCAAACATCAATCCATTGTCACTATTCATGCGTTTCATACAAATTCCATTGTTTTCTAACTCTTCCTTTCTTGATCTTCCCCCCATATTTTGCTACCAGACTTTACGTTGACACTCACGTTATATACTACTTATAAGTAGTTCGCACCACAGCACCACACTCGTCCCCCCTTTTAATAAGCTGTCGTCGTAGTCCTTCAAAACAGAGCCCCTGGTCAGTTAATATCACCTTCCGTATTCCGTGACACGCTACAATATGCCGGATTACCACTTCGGTCATCGTTCTTGATCACTGGTCTGGAATGGATACGGCATCTACCCAACGTGTAGCGTTTACAAGTTCCCGATGCTGGCACACGGCGGCAGGCACACACTCGATAAATTGCGACGCCAAAGACTGTGCCCCGCCCCTATGATCGAATACTAGTAACCTAAGAATATCCTATACTCTTACTGGTCTTGTTTTACAGCCATGAAGTAGGACGTAGTGAACTGCTGCGCAATAGACTCGCCTTTTGGCTAGCAGACAGTATCTCGCCCGGGCCATAAATAACGCAAGTTTGCAGAAGCCAATCGAGGCTTCTGTATCCGCGCTGAGATTTCGTCACACACCAGACCATCAGCACTGATGAGACCCTAGATAAGTGAAGCGGTCGACACGCTCAACCACTTCACTCACTATCACCAGTTCAGCCAACGATGCAACCAAATCCTGAATCAACATTTTACATTTAGACGGGGAGAATCGCATCTCGAACATGCTTGCATTGTTGCTTAGAGTTGTCAGAAGGTCCACGCATGAGAAGTCAGACGAAGATAATGTTAGTTCTAAAGGCATGCCTATGACAAAGTTAAACAAGAATGGAGAAAGTGGACATCCCTGATGGGTACCACTTGAAGTATCAAATTCCGATGACAATTCGCCATAAGCTCTCATTCGATCAGTAATGTTCGAGTAGAGAACGTGTATAGAGTTAATATACTTCTTTGGTACACCTTTCAATGACAGAAAATGCCGTAGAACCTCATGATAGACGTAGTCAAATACCGCTTCGCGGTTCAGGAAGACGATTATTGTCGGATGCTTAAATGCGTGTGTGTTCTAGGACCTGTCGCAGTGTGAATATGTGGTCTATAAAGTCACATCCAGGTTTAAACCAGCCTGGTGTTCTCGAATCTGCTCATCACGAGCTCTAGTCAGGCGTCTAAGCATTATCGAGACTAACAATTTAGAAACTATCTTAGTTATACTGATTCCTCTATGACTGTCACAAGGAGACTATTGTCCTTTCTTATAAATTGGGACAATCAGGGATTGCGACCAGTCAGATGGGATTACGCCCGGTTCGCAGATTCTACCCAAGATCTCAGTCAATGTAACTGCTAAAATTTGACCTCCATCTTTAAAAACTTCTGGAGTTAGCCTATCAGGGCCCGCTTCTCTCCCTGGTTTTAGATTTCCCATAGCTTTCTGGACTTCATAAAGAGTTAGAGGACCTACATCGATTTCCCATTCAGGATGACTGGAGATCGTCGGCAACCGAAGTGTGACTGAAGGCCAGTTGAACTGATCCCTGAAGTGCTCTGCCCATCGATCTAATCTCCTGGATTGAGAATGAATAATAGTCTTTTCCGAGATAGTCTCACTTACAGTCGGGTTTCTTATACCGGTTTGTTACCTATCGCCGCTGCCTTTTTCATCTCTGTTGCTTTCTCTACCCACCACTGTTCACGATCATTGCGTAGGCTTTTTATCAGCTTGCGCCTAATCTAAACCCGACTGCCCACACCGTGGAAGGGTGCTTCTTAAGGACTAGTGTTGGTCTTAGTGACCCGGTAGTGTGACTGTCCCTTATGACAGCTGCTTGAGGCCGGTTACACACGGCCATTTTATTGGAAGGGAATTATTGGGAAGGTCAAAAGACCTGTGAATATTGATTCGAGAAAAAATGGATTGACTGATTTTTCTAAAGGCTGGGAGAAGCCATATGGGCTCGGTATATTAGTATATATCACAGTCAGTATCAGCTATAAACTGCTTGAGCCAAGTTTTAGGTAGATTTATAATGAGCAAACGATCATTTGGAAAATGTCGTACTTGTATGTTGTACGTCATTAAGTTGTACGTAAAAATAAACTGCTAAGCTTGATATTAACACGTATCCAAATATTGGATTACGTTAATTTTTCTTCATTCTAACTGTTCAACGAGAGACTGTATTCGTAGAAATCGTAATTACTGTTGTATTTCATAAGAACTAACCACATTAATAAAGAGAAAATTACTTTTTCATTCAAAATCGAGGAAATTAGATTTATTGGTATAATGTTCGGTACATTATTTTTCGGTGGTCATTAGTTTTGACCTGTTTTCGGCATTACATTGTTAAGAATTGTTTCATTTTTTTCCCATTAATCTTCAGGTGCCACCGTTCCTGTAGTACCGATCAATGATTTACGCGCTGTTCAACTTGAAGGCTATGTTAAGGGAGAGCGTCTTATACGATGTAAACTGGCTTCTGTCTACCGACTAGTTGACATATTTGGCTGGAATACAGGAATCAATAATCATATTACGGTTAGTTATACTATTTATCATGATCTCTTTAGTAATGCTAACTTTGTATATTTATGTAAATGTCTGTATTGAGATGAGGCAGAATTTAGTCATAGTAAATATCTTTAGTAGTTTCATTCTACGTGCTGTTCAGGTAGCGAATTTCCATATGCTATACGTTTGTCTTTCTAACCTTATCTCACTGAATTATATTTTTTGAATAATATCTTAAACCCTAGTCTTCTTTATTATAACATTAATACCTCTACCATCTTTATCACTATGGGATTTGATTTGACATTTGCGTCTCTGTGCTAATAATGTGGTATGGCAACATGAACTTATGTACATACGTACGAAGTTCTACGTTGCAACTGACTGACTGACTGATATGCTATCAACTGAACGGTTTTTAAACCAATTCTTTAGTGACTTCATTGTAATCTGATAATTATCTAAAGGATTTCCTAGACATTAGTTACCATAATAGTTTTGAAGGATTTTAGTGATGTGAAGTGCTAGTAGGTATGTTTACGGCCAGTGAAGTTTTTATCGATTGATCTTGGGACTATGAAGGTGTCGTATTAGCCATAAAATGCATACATGTGTGTTTATTAAGAAATTAGATATTGTATGAAAGCTGTCTCCGACTCATTGGATGGAAGTGAAAGTCACTTGTCAGATGATGACCGATGTGTTGAAAATGAATAACTTGGTTTGAATAACGTTGGCTGAAGTGCTAATATTCAAAACCATCTGCTGTCGAATTGGAGCTGATTTCAGACTTAGACGTATGGGTCAAGTATATTCACTCTTCTCCAGGTTTTGGAATGTAAGAATGCTTACCAACACTTGAATATGGCTGTATTTTTTGATATGCATACGATTCTTTTGATCAGCAAGTTTCATCTCAATATTTATCTCTAAAAGACGTAACCGTGAAGTACATATACCTTTTGAGTACTCTTTACTCAAATATTATAGATTAAGCAAAGGTGTATGGAGAATTATTATTTGAACTGTCAACGTTTATTGGCAGTTGTCATGGTTGCCCACTATCCCAATTTTTTTTTAAAGGTTTCATCTTAGATATCCTCAAAATCACACAGTAAGTTGTGACGCGTTGTGGATGTATGGAAAATATGACTCAGGAAACTAGACAACAAAAAACTCAGTACTCTTATGTCCGGTATCTATTGTAAGTAGACATGGAAGTCAGGTAAGTGACTTCCCCGGTGATTTTCAAATATTTATTGAATTACCATTAGAAATCGATATTATGGTAATTGCGAAGAAACATATGAGTTGTGTTTTCGCTTAAGCTATTTAGTTATTGGTAGTCATTTAGATAACTTCAATATTTACGAACTAGTATTCATTGTTTTCTCAATGAAATTTATATAAACTAAGTTGATCAATGAGATTGAAATATACCTTCTGTAAGATGCAAATATCCGATTTGATAAAGTCACTTGAATCTTTTATTTTAGGCTCGCGTTTCCCGAGATACTGATGAATACCTGATCAATCCCATTGGTTTGTTATACAACGAATTAACTGCTTCTTCTCTCGTAAAAATTGACCTTAAAGGTAATTTATTTGAGTTAATTTTATATGAATGATTGAATACTAACAATTTTAAAGTCATACCAGGACGAAACGGCCGTCCAGTGCTTCCAGGTTTCTAGTGGTGGTCTAACATTGATCGGTTCATGGTTTCAAAAATGTGTAACTTAACAATCTTCACAACCCCGTAATGCATTTTTATATTGTATATCATAGTAATGGAGAAGATAGCATATATATTGTATTGTATATATCATGGTTTAATTTATTTTGCACCTTTTCCTACCTGAATTAAGTATGTATTATGGAGTGATCACAGTAAATTATAGCGGTGTAAGTAAACATACATGATGAGATGTTGTTAGACTAAAGCGTTGGTTTAAGTTTTTAATTACGGAACAGTCTAAACGTGCACAAGTAAACTTATATTGACTCTGTTTCTCAAAAAGATGTCTCCAGCCATCTGTTCTTGGTATTTTAAAATACAAACCATGAGTACACGATATTTTATTTAATGAAGACTAATATACAAAGATATTTTTAATCAGAATGTTACCCTGTCTAAACTATTTCTCTTCTTGTAATTAAACGTGTCAGATTATAATGTTAAAGGTTCACATTTGATCAGTAACACCTTACTTATCTCCATATAACTTACATGTAAATGTATATGATAAGTATCACATATTATACTTATATTATTTCTTAACTTTATCTGTTTTTGTTTCGTGTTTGGTTCATCAAAGTATTCAGCTGTTCATGGTTGATAGACCTTAAAACAATGCTCACCTCTCGTTACAAACTTAAATTATACATACATCTAATGAATTTGATTACGTTTTAGACTTGAATATAATATTATTAATCTTTACCATAGATATATTATGCACATGCGCGCTTGGTTTCTTAATTTTCCATTCAAGTATTGATTTACAGTATAATATACTAACTGTCATTGCAATTCAGTGAAATTAGGTCATTATTAATTGTTTGTAAAGCCTTAAACAATATGAAAAACACAATGTTTTGTTATGTATAGATAGTAAGTTCACTTATTCTTTGATTTCAGTTGTATGTTTTTCGTATTTGTATCAATAATGTACATTTCGCATATTTTATTAATTCCAACCTCATCTGAAACATTAGTGTAATTGTGCTGTTGTTTAGCTAGGTTAACATAGTCAACCGAGTTATTTGTTCTGCGTCAGCTGGAAACATATACTTCGACATACACTAAGATGCATAATTCATTGAAAGTCGTGTGTCAGTTTCTCCTTCTAAAATCAGAATTTTCTTGATATGATGTAAGAGTTGTTCAATAGACACAACTATTTCATACGAACAAAGTTTAGTTATTTTCTGAGTATGATACAGAAAGTGTTATCATCAGTAGACAATTATATTTTCATACAAATTCTCTTATTTTGGCGATTTTAAAGTAACACCGTGTTTTGTTTAATCTTCTTAGAGTTTCTTGCAGTAACCTATGCCTTCCTATGATTAATTAACTTACTTACTGTTTTACACTTGCCTTTGCTAGTAGCAGTTAAAAGGGAGCAAAATATTCAGTGGTTATTTAAAAAATTCAAATTTTGCCTAACAACTAATGTATGAATATTGATTTTTGACTTTAGGTTCTATTTTGGCTCAAGGATCTGTTGATTTAGGTATTGATAAACAGAGTTGGATGTTACATGCAGCTGTTCACAGTGCCAGACCAGATGTCAGGTGTATTATTCATCTGAGTACTCCAGCTGCAGTAGCGGTAAGTTTAATTTTGTTCAACGGTAAACAACATCCTACAATTTCACTTTTATGTGGCCTTTAACTTCCTAAGAATTCAATCTATTCCTCAGCAATCGGTTTAGCAGTGATGTGTCATATAGGTTTCTTTTTATGTAAATAGAATGTTGGGAGTTGAAACTCGTTCAGTTTGGATGTTTCTTCATTGTGCTCGAATGTTTGTTCTATTAGTAGTATTTTTAGCCTATTCAGGATATTCCTACATTCTATCAACGCAGTTCAGTTCGAAGTGGTGATGAGTCTTAGTTTGGTCACTCATAGTTTTATTCCAGATTACTCCAACGCTAGCTACGATTGAATTTCAAAATAGATGTTGATAAATATCTCATCTACTCCATTCAGTCAAAATTCACCGCCTCACCAGCCAATACCCCATATTTAACTTGCACTCAATGTCCATTTCTAGCACTACTCACTCGGTGTTCCAAAAATACCCGTGCATTGTATCAAAGACATTCTTGATCAATACTAGTAACATTCAGATAGCTCCTACTTTTAAGGGCCATATTTCACACTGATGAATTAAAACATGAACGTTTCGAACCCATGAAGTAAATTTTGGTGAACTGTGGTCGGCGTGCTCGTCTACTTCATCACCTATTATTAGTTTAGGCGTTGACATAGATCAATCTTAAAGCAACACCACATCTAGAAGAAGGTGAAACTCATCCCAAACATTCGTATGTTATTACTCAAGACATCTAAAATACTCTTCGAATCTCTAGTGTTTTTACCTGCGTGATTGATATTTCTAATAATCTAGGTATGCTGATTGTATTGACACGAATATTCACTATTAAAAAAACTACTTTTCAAAAAGCGTATGTAAGAATATTGTAACTGATAATGTGGTTTTATTATTTAGAGCTGTTGATAATAATACTACTACTACTACTACTACCACTACTACTACTTCTGTTAATAGTTATAATAGCAATAATAATAATAGTAACAATATCAATAATAGTAACTAATAATAATAGGGACAATGATAATAGTTATTATTGTATGATCGCTTTATTCAATCCAAGGTTTTGTATGTAAAATCTTTTTAGCTCTATATGAGGTTTTACCGATCGTAGATACTCGTGTTTTAAATTAATTATGAATCCTGACTAGAAAACATTCTGTCTTTGCCCAATTGCTCATTGTGTAAATAACATTTACAGTATAACATCTAAACTTTTACACTGTTAATCTTTTGTAGGTATCATGCACAAATGCAGGCCTTTTACCAATCAGTCAAGAAGCCATGATTTTGGGTGAGACAGCTGTTTACGACCCGTTAATTGTTTTGAATAACCTTCAACAAAATTGGGAAGAAGATTTAGACTCTCGTAACGAGCGTCAGTTTCATGCACATGAAGCAGAAATATCTCGAATATTTTCTGAAAAATCTAATTGTATGGTTTTACTGGTTCGTAGTTATGGTCTCCTAGCTTTGGGACAATCGATCGAGGAGGCATGGTTTATTGCTTTCACATCCATGTTAGCGTGTGAAGCACAGGTCGGTTTAAGACGATATTGGTGAATTATAATTCTGTTGTTCAGTTTTAAGTATATATCAGCTTTGAAGTTTATGTTCACACTTAAATTTGAAAGCAATTTTTGTGATACTATTTGTTTTTCTTGTGACTAATTGGAAACTAAATAAACATTTCTCCACAAGTTATGACGGTCCGTTAAGTCCTGTTTTTTATCGATTCATGGAGATTTTTCTTTTGATGGATTGTGATGTAATGGTATTTTATTTCTGTTTTAACTTTTGTGGATGTATTTGTACTGCTCTAGTTACGTTTGGCGAGCATTAGTTTGGAGGAATTGGTCATACCTACGAAAGAAGCTCAAGAAGCCGCTCATTCAGTAGGGCGTACTCCCTCTGCTGTCCAACTTCGGGTCGGCGAAGTCCCTGGTAGTTCAGGTTGGAGGCGTGGAGAACTTGAATTTGAGGCATTAATGCGCAGATTAGACTCTGCTGGATACCATACGGGTTATGTTTACCGACTAGGTCAAATTCGTCAGGGTTCGACTGCTGCATCAACTCTCCAGCGTCCACCTGCTGATTCACAGGATGGTTCCTCTGCTCAACAGTCAGCAGTATCACCTCGTGATGCCGCAGCCCACGCCCGTCGTGCAGCCAGTCTTGGTCGTGGACTTCGGGGCCTCAAAGATGTGGAGATACCTCCCACAGTATCATCTTTCGCAACTTTGTACTATGGGGATGAGGAAAGTAGGTGAGTGGAAGACAGTACTTATTTACTACTTGATTGTTTGTCTTTGGCTATGTCACCGTAAAGATTTGTTGAATTCTTGTTTCAGAACTGCTGCTGTTGCTGAGATGAAGGCCAAAACACTTTCACTTTCGCGTGCACACTGGTTGAGCACACCAAACGCCTACCTTCGAGAAGAGATTGAAGAAGTGGGTACTCCGAATCCTAAGAAGATAACTCATTGGACAGAGGGGTCAGATATCAATAAAACACGCACTGGTGGAATGGCTGTGCCGCTGATTGATCCCAATCAATTTGCTTTGCAGGGTTCGGATCCACAGGAGTTTAAAAATCAGCAAAAGAAGGTGATTTTTCAATTTATATATATGTATATATTATTTAGGAGCATTCAGAGGAAGGTAGTCTCGAGTGTCTGTAGACGTATAAGGTCGGTTTTCATTTGGTTGCTCCACTTTGAGGTCTGTAACCACTCGTGGAGCATAGGCCGTCAACCGTTCACTATGAAAGGGACCCATAAATGATACTAGAGCAATAGTGGTCACAAAAGCTCAGAAGGCCTACCTCTTGAAGTTAGTCACGCCCGATCATGTTGTGGGTAGTGTTTGATGTATTAACTTTGCACTTTTTGGGCCTTACCACTGACGGCAGGAATCAGTGATGCAAGGTAAGGTATGCTATTCCCAGGCTTATTATTTTATAACCCATCCCTCCGTTGTGGAGAGGGAGGACCTTTGGTCATCTCGTAGAAATACCTGACTGTCTTCACACCCTAGTACTGTCGACAGTATGACTTCGCTGTTGAACCTTAAGCTTCCTACTTACTGCTGTCCAACCAACCTACTTGAAATGGTAGAATCTAAAGAAGCAATTATTTTAGCCATTGTAGCTTGAATGCCTCATCACAATGGGCGAATCTAACCACTATGCCTAGATAGTTGCTCTGGTTCGGTTGAGAAGCCCTGGATGTCTATCTATGTGATAAGTGAGACAGACCTGTTAGTCTATAGATGCTGTGCTTGATATGCACTATGAAGGGGACACAAACTAAGGTAAAATACCTTTACAGTACATCTCGTTCCACATTATTTCTCCAATAGACGTTATTTCTTAATGAACATTGCCTGCATAATAAATAAAATTACCTAATTTTCAGTAATGTCATCTTAATTTTAACAAACACCACTAATTACTATTGATCTGAGTACGTGAAACGCATTCGATTTACGGTATTATTTTAACTTGTATTATTTGTGAAATTATTTCTAGAGAACATAATTTTGAAGCGTTGTATTTAAGATAGTTTTAGATTCATAGACATACTCGTAACTGCTTAATCATATAATGTGTTTGAAACTTGAAGTTGACGGATTATTTATTTTGTTCTAGGTTAAAGATAAATACTACAAAGATATAAAGTCTGCTGGACCGAAATCTCGGATTTTACAGGGTATTGATCTGGAAGATGAAGCAGATGAAATTGATGGGGGAAGTGGATCACCTAAGGTTGTCAGTCCGAGAGGCACACTGCTTCGATTAGATCCTTCTAACCCTCCATCCTTGGAACCTGGACATGTTGTTGTGGTTGGCGCAGCTAGTAAAGGTATCATAAATCGTAATCAAAGACACAATGTTGGGGTTTATCAATCTGTATATTCACCAAATCCGTTTGATAAAATGACAGACGAAGATCTCGAACGCTATAAGGAAAATGTTGAACGTAAGGCTAAAGGCCTACCCTCATTAGAGGAAGAAGAAGCAAGAGCTCGCATAGAAGAAGCTCGACAGGCTGCAGTTGTTGCACGAGAGGCAATGGAGGCGGCTTCTCGCATGGGAGCAGCACAAAAGTGTAAGCTTTTCATTTGTTGATATTTATAATGATGTGAAGTTTTCTAGTAATTATTAGTAAGTTAATTCAAGTATTGTGAGTTGTGTTTCGTCAGTGTATTAACTTAAAAAATTAATCAAAGGATTGTGATGTTATATGCATTCCGCTTTTAATATAAATTTGTTGTACTATGTGATGGCGTTGTAGTATCACAAATCACTTTGCTCGATTCTCATGTTATCTCTATTCGATCACTTCATTTTTCTAGAATTTCTTAGAATCCTTAGTTTTAGGAGAATTAAGCATGAAACAATAAAATCAAACATTATGGAACGTCAGAAAGGCTTCTGTTAACGTAGATATTGATACTTGTTCTAGATAATACATTTGTGTCTTTTCTAACTAACTAGTTCTATTTAATAAATGAGTCTCTCATTTGATTCACTGATGGCGACTAAAAATGGCAACAATGCACTAATTATGTTGAGTAATGTTAGTTTCTGTCCGAATACACTATGTTACGTAATAGTAAACAGTGAGAAAATTGGCTGTCACTGTGATCGTTGTACCATCTTGATCCATTGATAAATTTAATTAAAACGATAAGACTGTAATATTGGAAACGTTATTTTTCCATGATATTATCAACTCTAACAGGTTCCATAAAAAAATTTCGTATTTAGTATAGATGAATATTTTCTGCCGTATAAAGTAGTGTTTATCATTAGATTCACTCTCGTATTTAGTTAGTTATACACTAAATGCAATGTGATCTCATTCGAATCAGTTCAAATCATTTATGGTTCATGTTGCCCATATTATCTTAATAGGTATTGTTATTCTGTTTATCAGTTTCAACGATATAATGTTAACAGTATTTTTAAATTCAGATCACAATTATTATCTTGTCCAATAATAGTTGATAAAATTACTGAGTGTATGTCACATTAAAAATGTTTACTCATCTGGATAAATGTGTACCAGTGATTCGTTTGAGGTTTATATTATCTTTTTTGATTGATTTTCATATATATATATGTATATGCTCTCAATATTCTGACTATAAAATCTTCTCCTCACTATTTTCATATCTTAGACAATGGAGAACCTAGTTTAGACGTAAGTCGTATTAGTGCAATTCGGTCAGATACCAGTGGAGCTGAAGCTAGCCATGATGATACTGAGAAAGAGGTAAGTTTTTGTCACTCTTCATCTTTTAAGTAATTCGCTTACTTTAATTAATGTTTTAAGTCTTGAATTCATGTTAAAGAGACTAATTTAACTAAGAGTGTAATTAGGTGTGATCATAACTTTTAGCATGTGTGTTGGATTTTAGTGAACCTAATAGAAGTGTACACCTGTTTTAATAGACAGACAGATACAACACAGAACGCCGTACGTAAGTACGTCAGTTCAGGTTGCCATACCACATCAACACAGAGACGCAACTGTCAGTTCAAATCTAAGAGTGATAGCGATAGTAGAATTATTAGCAGTAATGGAGAAGATTAGGGAGCGAAGATATGATTCGATAAGTAGTTCTAATAAACCTTTTCTAAAGATCATAATGGATTTGAATGTTGGAAAAAAATTAATATATGATTCCGATCTCTAGAAATTCGATCGAAAATTCACTATTTATTGAACAGTATCACTTGTAGCTACATCTGTTAAAATATTTCAACTACTTGTGGAGGATTATTCTACTTAGAGATCACTTCCAGGCTATCTCAAAGCACCGGATTTACGTTTTTCTACTCTACTGTAAATTTGTATTTTGAATATGGTTATAAATCTTACTTATTTTTGTCTTCTCATTTTAGGCTAGAAAAGATGATGGCAGTATAACAGAAAAGAAAAAGAAGCGTCGTTTCAAAATGCCTTCATTTGCTCGCAAGTCCAAAACAAAGGAATTTAAAGAAAAGAAATGAAAAAAAACGTATTCGTTGCTACTCGGGCTACTTATATATATATATAAGTAGACAATATATCAATGACCTCAATTTTTTCAGCAATAGAAGCGCGCGCCGAAATGATTTTCGATTGGGATACTTTATTGTTCACTTTAATTGCTACCTTCCTATCAGTGTGCCCAGCTTTATTTATATCAGTCTAGTTAACATTGTTTAGTTGCGTATGTTGTTATTATTCTTGCTTACATTGAATATTGTTTTCGTTGCTTATGATGTAACCTGAATCTTCCCATAATATATATATATATATATATATATATATATATATATATATATATATATATATAGATCATAGAATTTTTACGTTAAATCCTTAATCCAATAAATTATGGTTTGTTGTAAAATTGCAAAATGTTGATGTTGATATTTTACATCGGTTCGTTTGTCTAACTTTAACTTTCTTTTGCTTTATTAAAAATCATGCATAATTTGTTCTTGCGAAGGAGTAAATAAAATCCTAATTTCGTCATTATTTTGTTGTTATTGATAAGCCTCGGTCTTGAACCAAGACGATTCTCATAAATTGCATTTATTAAGGTATCCATTCGGAGAATATTTGAATGTTTACATACGCCTCTCGTTTTGATTAATTACTAGATTGTTTTGTTAGATAGTCAGTGTATACACAGAGTAAAACCTAACATGTCTATGTCGGTTCAAGTTTTAAAAAGATATTAGCATATAGAAATAAAGCTATAAAGAAGAGTCTTAGATTAATAGTAGTTATACTATCAGTAGAACTAGTAGCGACAATTCTGAAAATATTTCAAAATTCATGGTGTAAAGGAAAGCAAAATATGAATGAATTGCTTTTGCGCCATGTCAATCGATTCCGAGACATATCATTCGATATCTGTTACCATTGGTTGCAATAATAGCTCTGATCAAACTGATTAGTTTGTATTTGGAAACTTTTCTAGCTCCAATAACCAGTTAAACTTTGATACGAATACAAAATATCTTATTTATCCTTTCCAAGTTATTCCATAAGTTACATGGACAAAATGTTTATTTACCTATTATTAGGTATTTCCGATTAGTATAACTCATTTATTATAAGATACGACCATTGAAACTGTAAAGTGTGCGTTGTTTTGATGTATTTGATCATACACATGTGCATTACATACACCATCGGTTTACCTGGACACCAGCATAAAATTATGTTAGAAAAAAGTGGAACGTGGAACCAGATAGCATCATACTAGCGTATAAAGATTGTTGACGTTTTGTCATAATAGTGTATCTCAGTACCTATTTATGTGGCTAAAGTCTTCACAACCACCACTGTCAATATTTTTGGATCATGGAATATGACTCTATGATTTAAATGCATTCATTACTTTTTTATTTACCATTCATTATCAGGTCTTTGCCCTCCTCTCCTTTGTCTTACATTCTTCTCATTCATGTGACATTTTTTTTTACTAACCACTAATGAAACAGCATAAAAAATACTTAGAGCAAATCAAATTATTTACCAGCACTTTCCATCACTATTCCGTCAGTTTGTCAGTATATCGTACTATCGAACCACAACTGAATGTCCTTTGCGAACGAACATAAGTAGCAGTCGTTTGAAATAGAATTCTAATAAAGTTGAAAGGCCAAAAAGTCCTTAATACTGTGTACTTTATTAATAAGGATGTTACAGCAAGTGGTTTTAAGCTTGCAGGAAATGTCCACGTGATCTTTTCTGTGTGGAAACTGAAACAAGTTTTTAGTGTGTCTGCACAGTTGTTGACCATTAGTCTATGACCTACTTTCTGATCAGTCATCAACCTTGTGGTGAGGTGAATCGGTCACAGTACAGATCTAACCGGTACATTCCGTTTATGGATCTTCGGTTTACTAGTTCTGTGACGTGCTGTGAATTAAAGGGACTTTTAGTATTGAAACCTATGAATTTTATGTAGGGTTTCAATGTTCAACACTAAACCTTGGGTTATTAGCAAGTAAATTTCCAATGACTGATTATTATGTAAATTTCCACCAAAAAATAAGTCGGATATACGTAAACTAATGCTACATTAATACCAATAATAAGTGTTTGAAACACTCTGAAGTGTAATCATGGAATAATTAGTGAAGTAACTAGAGATGAATCTTCGAAAATTCCCGAAGACAACAAGCATCTATATCGACGTTTCCTTCTCACAACGGAAGGAAGGGGTTAGAAAAGTTTGATTCGGAAATTGTCACATCTCACCCGACGGATTTCTATCTCCGGCTGAAAGGATTTTTGAAGTGCGGAGCTAACCTGTTTAACTGTCCCATAAAACGACCATCCGTGGCAAGCTGTTGTCTTTTCGGTTCTCTTTTCCCAGATCACTAAGAGCAAGTCAATGCCGGACTCAAATGGACCATATTGCCTTCATCCACCAATGTAGATGCTCGATACAAGACTACCGCTCGTTATGGAGCTCATGTTTAATCTCAGATCATGCTCTAGAACGTGCACATGTTCATCTGCGGCTCACTGGACGTAAAAAAGACAAGTAAACCTCAAAGTCCTACCTAATGATAAAATAACCCAAGAGTACATCTCAAGAACTACTACATAAATAGTTTGATAACCGTATAAGTGATGTCCATCCTGAGGCGGCCAATCGAAAACATTGCACAAATCAGTGAAATCACTGATAACTGAACTGAATCATATTAGTAGGTGTAGGCTTTCTGTTTGGGATCCACGAGACAATAGTAGACAATAGAATGGTTAGAGACTCTGAATGACATCTCTGAAAATAGTTTTCAGTGGTGCGAATTCACCTATTCCTTTTCTTTCCCTAAATACTAAACTTTTGAGTTCCCCATGACGTTTTTTTACTCTTTTAACAATTTAATTTACTGGGTTGCACTTCTTGAATTATTCGTTTTATCCCTAAGCGTTTCTATTACCACTAATACTGCCACTACCTCTACTATTATAAAGTGTGAACTGACAATTCCAGTTTAGGAGGTTTATGTGATGTGGCAACTTGAATTGATGTACGTACATACCAAGTTCTATGTTACAGTTAACTGACTGTTTTAGAACCAAGTACTGTTTTGATTTTGAAGTTTGACATATTATGTAGCATATAAATTCATACATGTTTTCAAACCATTACTCAGTATACTGAACAACTGGGGACAAGTTAACTTATCAGGGCACCCTACAGAATCTGTGGTATTTTAGCTATCTAATATATATTATGAATGTTTATAACATTAAAACATCAATGAATGAACGAAGAGTATTCTTCTCAATACATTCTTTACAGGTTCCACAATAATATATCTAAATGAATAGTACAAACAGTGGACAGGTTTGAGGCTAGTTATATCGTTTATAATTAACATATGTCGAATTGGGATTGTAAACTTAAATTAAATTTTTGATGTTAAAATGATTGTTATGCAATATTAACCTGAATAATGGTTACAGTGACGTAATATAATACATTGAATACATTAAATGCCTTAGCCAAAAATCGACTTCAATTGTGACGATCAGTGTGTAATGTAAGTAAAACTAATATCGTCGAAAAAAAAGATTAATTTACTGACTTTAAAAAAATGTGTTTTTATTTTGAAAATATGAGGGTCATGTGTAAAATAAATTTATTAGGACAGTATATATACAAAACAATATTATTTACAGCTGGGACTTCTTCAGGCTTCATTTTGATTTGCAGTAATATTTCTGTATTTAAAATGTTCAACCAGTCAAGGATATTTCGTATAGTTATGCAACATGTACATTAATACACAAACTACTACAATTAGAAATCTATTTATATATATATATATATATATATTTATATATACAATTATCAAAATGCCTGGAATTTTAGTCAGTCAGTGGTCATATATGATAGAACATTGCTATTACGAATGAATGGTATTCATAAGTTACTAGTATTAAATCATATACTCTTGTATTTTGAGGTTACCCAGTGAACACTGTTGAAGATACACATGGAGTAATAAGTAACTGTGTTAAACTGGTTTATGAAGTAGTAAAGTTTCGTTAACTGAAGTGGTTGGGATATTTATTAAATATGCCTAAATACCATCTATCTTAGCGCACTAAGTTGTCTACTGTAAGACTAGGGATAGCCAAATTAAGGCCTCAGATCAGTCCATGATGTCATTGATCGTTGCAGTGGACCGTATACGTCAACTTGGTTCGGGTTCAGTGATTATCATAACCAATAGTGATAGAATTTGAATGATGTGGTTCAAAATTGTTAGCATTGGCGTATATGCATTAACATTTTTGTTTTCCCTTATTGCTGAAATCTCCTTATACCATTTTTTATTCTTATATAACTGATCTTTTTTGTTATTACTACTGCTAATACTGTTACCACTTTTGCTACTATGGGTTTGGTTTCAATAATTTTATCTCACTGGTGACTTGAACCAATGCAGATGTGCTAGCTAGATTTTACACTGCGTATAATGGATTGAATGATTCTATAGAGATAAATTTCCTATTCACTCAATTCATCATATACTGGTATGTTTATCGAAAAATGGCACAGCCATCAGTTCACTATTTATTCTCGCTTGTGTATGGTGTTTTCTCCTCATTCAACGATCAAAGATAATAATAATAATAATAATAATAATAATAATAATAATAATAATAATAATGATTTAAGGACCTTTAACTTATACCATTAGACACATTAAAGTCATTGAAAGAAGAACTATTATTCTAACTGAAAATATTTTCGAACATGTTAACTTGAATGTCTGTTACGAAACAAATAATTTTATTAAACTTATTTTTCTAATGTTAAATAAACTGAAAACTATGTTCACTAAATATTTGAAGACATTAATGTTATCATCGAAAACGAATTTTCTATCGTTCGAACAATTTTATTCATTCAAATTGTTAAGAAGGAACAGATGGTTTTAGTCTGCTGTCACTATGATAATACTGTTTTCCTATTATAAAAAAAATAAAGGGGTTTTTGGTCCAATTTTGATATAAATAACTAGAAGATATAAAGTAACTTTTCAAATTCTATTGGAAATAATCATGCTAGTTTACGTTAAATAAGAAGATAAGAACAAATTAACTAAGAAATCTGAAATATTATAGATTTTGATTCCTTGACTGGGTGTTAACTTATTGTCCACTTGGTATAAAGGTTTTAATTTGTTTCTCCACAAAAATGGAGGTTGATCATTGTTCAAAACTAACTATTCAATACCTTTTGGTTTCTAGTGATTAGTTAGTTTGTACAAAGAAATTAT